TTCCTCTTCCTCAGAGCTGAGAGTTAGTGCTGCCTCAGGCCATCGTTAGTTATGCTGCTATAGGATGAGACTGCCCCCCCCCCCCTCTCCCTCTCCCTCTCTCTCTCTCTCTCTCTCTATCATCATCACCATCTCTAAACATCATGAATGCATGTTACTAACTAAACTTCTCCCCCGGAGTTTCTGTGCTCTCTCGTCCAGCAGGTTCTCATGGATCATGGCTGCTCCCTGGTCATGGATCGTGGTTCCCACTACTGTTGCGTTGTTCTGTACACGTGACATCCATTACACGTCTGTCCGTCCTGGGAGAGGGATCCGTCCTCTGTCTCCCTGAGGTTTCTTCCACCTTCTTTTCCTGTTAAAAGGTTTTTTTGTGGGCAAGGTTCTCTCACTGGAACCGAGGGTCTGAGGACAGAGGGCGTCTCTCCCTGTACAGATTGTAAAGTCCTCTGAGGCAACATGTGTTCTGTGGATTTGGGCGATACAAATAAAATTTGATTTGATTTGATTTGATTTTATGGTAAAAACATGGACGTGAGCAGCGAGCAGGTCTGAGAACGACCGAGCTGCAGAGATCCACAACAAGAAACTTTATTCAACAAGGAAAAGTTTCAACTGGAGTAAGAATCACAGAATGTGAAGAAAGTGCAAAATAAAAGTGAACGGCTGGAGCGTGAGAATCTGAGGAGCTCTGTGGTGGAGCTGCAGTTTGACAGCTGACACGATGATTGATGTAAAGAGAGAGGGAGAGAAAACCAGAGGACAATAAAAGAAAGAATTCAGGTGGTGTCACACCCTGAGGAGGAGGAGGAGGAGGAGGAGGAGGAGGAGGAGGAGGAGCTGGTTGTTATCTTGTGAATCTGTTTCATAGGTTTCAGCATCTTTTAAATTCTCTACGACTGAAAGAGAATAAAGATATTTGTGTCTGTGATGATGCACAACTTCTGGCCTCATGTGGACAAAACTAAATGGACGTGAACCCAAAGTTGTCCACTTGTCTCACACACACACACACACACA